TCTACTTTTGCCCGATTAACTAAATAACGGGTATATTTCAGCTCCTTAGAATTAGAACCACAACTCCATTTAATTTTTCTTCAGCAATACAATCAGGGAGATCAGTCGAAATTTGATGTATTTCGTTGTCTAGCGTACTTCCGATCGCCGAGATCTTGTTCACGGAGCACTAGCCTGTGAGACTTTTCCTTATACGTTTCGCGCAAACTCTAGTAAACTTCTGAAGAATTTACAGCCTGCATAGATGGAACACCCCTTTAACGCATAAAGAGCACGCACGTTCGTTGCTGCTTGCGACCAATATGTGTACAATTCAGAGGGGCTGGAACGTTGAAAAAATTCTGATGCGAGAATATCGAGTTCAAGAGAAACGTAGCTTCTAAACTGCCACCCTTTAGCTTTGAACCCCTATAAGATCTAAGAAAATAAATCAAAATGTGAAAACATAAATTACGACAAGGACTGAGAGAATGCACAGACTGTTGTCGGGTTAATTTTCTCTGGATCAAAATGCTAGATTTTTTTGGCCCGGAGTCAGCGTATGGCAGACCTTTGATGCCAAATAATGTAGAAATTACTGTAAATGTTACTACGATGCTCAGTAAATTTCGCCATGAGAAGCAAGGAAATTAAATGTAACCCGGTAGAGCCAGAAAAAGGGTTCTAATTGTACTATGAAAATTATTTCGCCATCCATTTGCAAGTAGAGGTGTGCAAACGAGCGACAGAAAACCGCAGACTCGTAGACTAACAACTAGTAAGCATAACCCAGAGGATATGTAAAAATACAGCCATGAAGTTAATAAGATAGTTATTTGTATTTACTCGATCGGTCTAATAATTGCCGCAAAATCTTCTTTGGAACCAGAAATTTTCTGTCGACTATATTGATACTGGAATGAAAAAGCACTCGTCAAAATCATGGTGAAACGTATCAGAGAGGTGATAACGTGAAAATAGTGTTGAAAAATCACGCACAGTTAACTGCTTTGACCCAAACATTTATTCCGAAATCAGGCTGAAAGAGTTGACAAAAAGCATTTGCTTCCTCGTTTATGAACCAAATCAAAACAACACTGTTTTCAGGTGGAAAACTTTGCTCTTGTCTAATTATATTTAGGAATATGGCCCGATATCCAACATATCTCAAAAATGGAAGACACCAATTTGGTAAAATAGTAAATGCAGAGTAGGGCAGTAAACCCCATCATTAACTGTGACCACAGGACAGGATACAAGAACACCCCTAGA